CGTTGGAGTGGGGCGGGCGGCCGATGGAGCGAGGGCCCGTGTGGGACGCTGTGAGGCGGAGCGCTTCTCCCCGGCGGCCTGCGGGCATCCTATACGACGGCGGGCTTATTCCCTGAGGAGAAATATGCTCCTCGGGTTGTCCCGCAGAGGGGAGGAGCAGGAATCTTTTACCGCAGGAATCTCATTACCTCCCTCTCCAGTGGGCACAGGGGTCTTCTCGGGCAAAATTTGTGTGGGGAAGGGCGGGTTTTGTTTCTAGCTCTGTCTTCCAGTTGTTGGATGGGACCGGGAAATATTTAAAATGGTTGTTCCTCGGGCCAGAGCCTTGTCCAGACGGAGTTTGGGTGGGTGATGCCCACTGGCATGGGTAATACTTTCTGTATGTTACATGTATCTTCCCTGCTTCCCCAGCCGAGGGGGAGTTTTGTTTTTCTCTGCACACCCGATGGATAAAGCCTGTGAGGCTGTGTGGTAGGGGCTGGAAGAGTGACGGGAGCCATGTCGTGGGTGGGTTGTGCCGAGTTTGACACCTGGGTTTTGTGCTGCAGGCTGCTGTGGGGAGGTATTGCAGGCCTGCGGTGATAAGGGTGTGACACGTCCTGTGTCCATTTTTCATCAGGCTGTATCTCTTTGTAATTGTCTCCAATGGGAATAAATCCCGTTCATATCTCTCCTATTCTTTGCAATTTATCAAGCAGTAGTCATGTCAACCTGATGCTGTACTTGTGTATCCTTGCTAATCGTGGGCTTCTGAAGAACAATACAGAAAATGTGTAGGATGTTGCTAACTTCAACAGCAGTAAGGTGAGGCCATAAGACTTCTGCTGCCTGTATACAGGCTTGGGATATTGTCCCAGTTTACAGCTCCCTATGCGATTTCAAAGACAACTTATGTTAGAGCTAACATAGGTTCCAGCTTCTGCCAGTCTTTTTCTTGACCACTGGAAGTTGAAGTAATCATGCCAGACAGTAGTAATACAAAGGAAACATCAGTACACAAGCTTTGATCTTTTGGTGTTTAAGTCTGTTTCTCACTGGTTGCACACTGAGTTTAACTACCACGTAAGCTGAACATAGAAAATGATTATGTATTCTTTCTGCTTTTCCAATTAATAAGACATTTTTGCTGGCAGGTTTTGAAGATGTAGCAATATGTAAATACCATACAGGTGTTTTCTTTTTGTCCGCAGTGAAAGCAGAAACTTAAGAGGAAGCTAACTGAAATGGCCTCAAAATGCACTACCATACTCTCTAGGGTATTTTATATTAAATAATATAATCAAGTCCCTGATTCTGTATGTTCTTTTTTGTGCATTAAATCTGTACGTGACTGTTACCATTGCATTAATTCATAAATGAATTGTGAGGGAGAGAAAGTAAAGTGTATGTGGAATTAAAAACAATATAAAAAATCCGTTTCTTTATAGAAAGTTAAATTGCATATCTAGACTCTCACTGTTAAGCAGTTCCTCATATAAGTGGTTTCATCAAAGCACTATTCAAGTGAGTAAAGGTCTCCCAGTATTAACAAGGAACTGACAATATGACCTGGAATGATAGATGAACAATATACTATAGAAATAATACGTAGTTCTTTAACCTGATAAATATTATGGGCAAAATAATCATTGCAGGTTGTACAGCTAGCTTTAAACATGTGCCATCACACTCTGCACAGTTAAGAAAATAAGTTAAGCCGTGTTAGGGAATTTTGAACTAATTCAAGGGTAGGAAACTCAGGTAAATAAGTTGTTATGTACTGTCATCACATATGCCTCATCTTTCTGTCTCCTTTTCTTGTTCACAGTCTGACATTTAATTTTACACCATAGCCACAGCAAGGCTTTTCCAGCCATATAAAAAAGATAAACCAAACTAAAGGTGGTACTCTTCCTCCATGGTGTTTCCTAAAATACTTTAGGACTTTTGTTTGCACCTAGATGCCCATATTGGTTTTTCTTCATGTTCCATCTTTTGAAAGATCTGAGAGAAGACACTTTGGCCAACTGGGTCTTCATGTTCGATGTCTGGATGAATTTTGTTTCAGTGGTTCTGGCCAGGGACTGTGTGTAGGCTAAGAGCACAAATTTTAACTTATTTTGAGATTTACTTTCTCACATTATGGCATCAGAAAGACAATCATTAAAAACAAGCCCACAAGCAAACCAGGCTGCTGGGTAGGATGGATTGGGAAAAGCGAGGCAAAGTTGACCTGAAGCCAAAATTGTATCCATGCAGCTCCATCCAGCGTTGAAGTGCTTGCCTGGAATGAGGCTGCCTCTTCGCCGGTGTAGCTCAGGGTGTTTGCAGGGGGTTTGCAGGCCAGTAGAGAGAAATTTGGGCTGTCCGCAACTCTGGTGCTGTACACAGTACTTGACAGACTTTAAAGAACATAGTCTTGACCAGTCCACAACTTTCTCTCTAAGAAATTTTCTAAATGTTTATAATATAGTGGGATTTTCATGTAGTTTCTCCTTTATCTTCATCCTACAGCTGTGTTGAGTCCAGATTCTGCTTTACTTTGGCTTCCAGCTTCTTTCGAAGTCCATCATAAAAACTTCCATCATAACATGCCTTGGTATAACATGCAAATGTATTGGCCCCTAGAGCATCCTTTCAGAGTAGATGTATTAATAAATATAATGTTTCTCTGCTGCCACTGGGGTGGAAGATGTAATGGAGTCTGCATTCCTTAAGCAATATGGGTTTCTATTTAAAAAAGAAATACATTGTAAAGAATTCCATCAAACTGTTACAGCTTTGACTGCCCTTTGGCAAGAAGTTCATAGGCTTTTTTAATTTAAATGTTACCTGTTTACTTGGCTTTTTTAAGATAGAATACTTCTCTTCCCCTTTTTGTAATAGAGATAGTTGTAAAACAGTATTCATATAAGAATGTTGCCTGAGTTATATTTCAAAGATGTGTTTTCATTCTATTTTTCCAATACTTTAATTTACAGTTTTGGAATAGTAACATGAATTTAAAAAGGATATGTTTGGAATTAGGTCATTTTAATTCCTTACAAGTCAAAACATTCTTTTCCAAGATGAAAACTGTGAACTAAGCTCTTGAAATATGATGTATTTTCTAAATCTTGTTTAATTTGATATAGTATATATATGTTTCTTGGGGACTGTTCGTATAAAGATTTTAAATTTTTTTCCTCATTTTATATAATGCTTTAAACTATTGTTAAGATTTAGAAACATGCTTAAAAAGTTTCAGTTGTCTCTGGGAAAAATAGTCTTAATTTATGTTGACCTTTCTTTCCTTTGAGCATTTAGTCTGCATTCAATAAAATTTTGATGACTGCTCTTTAGAAGACAGCTGTACGATATAAAGTATTATAAATATTCAGCTTTCCTCTTCTAGCGTTGCCATTAACAGCTGGGCATCCAGTTCAGCAGAGCAGATTTTGCAGAGAGAGCTTGGCATGTTCCTGAATCAGTATAGTGAAGAAGACTAGAAAATAGTTTCTTATGGTTTGGGGACCTGTAAAGACATAGAGCATCTGTTCCCCAGTTAAGTCATAGTCTGGTAGCACTGAATCATGTTAAGAGCTAAAATGATGGGAAGAACTACTTTTTTCACCTTGGCTGTACCTGTGGTTTAAATGCCTAATACATTATTTCTACTAATGGCAAAATAATTTCGACCCTTGCTCAGAAGGTATGTAAATGATAATGCTTTTGCATTTTTTCATTGTTTATAGTCTTTGAGAAAGAGGCAAATATACAGTGCGATTTCACTTCAGTGTCTTGAGTTTTATCTCTAGTATAAAATGGAGAGTTGGATTTTCTTATGCAAATGCTTCATCCTTCTAAACAAGCAACGTTTTTGGTACACGGTATTTTAATCAGTTAATGTATTTGTTTTGAATGACATTAGTTTTCTTGTGTAGGATAAAAAAATGTGAAACACAAGAAAGGAAAATGTCTTTAAAATTACCAATTATAGACCTTACTACCAGAAATCTTTGTGTCTAGATCACCATAAAACTTGTCCATATTTTTCTCTTGCAGAGTGAAGAGAGCATTAAAGTTGGACACTGTTAAAAAAGATAATGTAAGTATTTTTTGGTGTATGGAATCATCTGGGCTGTATATATATGTATGTGTATATATATATCTATATGCACACATGTGTATATAAACACGGTATTTCATTAGAGCTGCATTTATATTGTTACAGATTGGATGTTGTCTAGAAAAATCTTAACAAGGCACAAAATTACTGCTGAAAATATTAGTATAAAATTTATTGTGTTCCATTTGTCATAGAACTGCCTGGGTTTAAGTAACGTACATCTGCATGAATCACTTGAAAATAACAGAGAAATATGCATATTTTTATTGCTATCACTATTTACCGAAGAGCTGAATGAGTTAAGATCCTTGGTGAAATCATTTATTAGAAATTAGCTCCATTGTTCTGGAAGCAAATGTTCTGCCATGTAATTGTACATGTAACAATATGGAATTATGATAATGCTGTAATCTGCATATTATAAACTGCAAAATTGAAATGAAAACATTAAAGGCATTTTCATGTCAAGGATATAATTACCTCCCTCAGCTAATCTGGCATAATGAAACAATAAAGTACTAACACTGCAATAAATTTCACCACAGTTATCACAATAAAAATAAAATTGTACTGTTGCTATTATTTTTTGTAAATGCAGCTATAGTATACTCCCAGTACCAGCATGTCATGACATATGTCAGTTTATTATCTGCTCCTACCAACAGTGGGTGTTGCTGCAGACATCAATACAGAGGAGCTTGTGAGAATGGCAGTGTTTAAAGGAAGGAAAATTTTGGAAAAGTATAGAGAGAGAAATAGCTGGTCAGCAAATGAGCTCTCAATAAATCTCTACATCTGTGTCATTTTGAAGAGATTTGTTTATATGCAGCACGTATTTGGAGGTCTCACTGGTATTTAGCAAGACAGAAATTTGCAATTTTAAAAATTTTCTGGATAATTTTTTTTTTAATTTAAACAAAGGTGGCAAAATACCGCAGTGGCACTAAAAAAAATCATTAGCAATTTAATTAGCAGCTTAGTGTACCATTACCCAACTTGTTCTGCTCAGAATGCAGCTGTGACTGTAATTTTGCATCTGTTTCTTGGGCTGTAGTAACGTTTTTGTAGATGAGTGGTCCAGCTGAAATTACATGGAATTCTTTTTCTGCTTTAAAGCTATTCCTTCCCTGCCCCCTCCCCACAAGATGAAAAGAAAGAGTTACTTGGTGGTTACCTGCATTCAGGTTCTTGTGCAGCAAAAGCGTAACAAAAGCCCATCTGAATGATAAAAAGTTTTACTGGAATCTCAGTAATGTAGGTTTACGCTATGATTTTTAGTTCATACAATGCCTCTAACAGATGCATGTCAAAGATTTAAAGTTTACCATAATTAAATAACGTTATAGAAGGTGGGAAGGAACATAAGATAATAAACACACACGGTTTGTGCGAAGTATCTGGTTTAGCTCTGCCACATCCATTGGTGTTTCTACTATTTTTTTCCTGTTATTCAGGAGGACTTCATTCCACCTGCTGGTCAGACTACCCAAAGCATGCCTGAACTAACCAGATCAGAAATGAGTATTTTTAGATTTTGTAATGTTAGTATGGTATCATAACTGGACTAAGACTCTTCCTCCTGGAAGAGAAATTCTTACTGCCAAATAAATACCATCCTTCTAAGTACTACAGTAACTTTTTCCAGGTAGCTGCTCAAAGGAGTCTTAGTTCATATCCAGAAATATGGTGGCTGAGGTGACTGCTGTTCAAGCAGGAAAAATATCCTGAAAGTGTAAGCAGATTGGAGTTTCTCCCTGTTACAAAAGAGAAACAATGACATTTAAATGCCTAAAGTGGCATTGATACTTCACTGTAATTAGTATTTCATTTAAAGATTATTTGAAACTTTTCTTCAACCTGTTTGAATGTGGCAAAATATTAGTGACAACAGACTGAAGATTTCCATCAGGTATTGTTTAAGTACTGATAGACTGCAAAAAGAGTATAAACGGCTGATGTGAAATTATTTAGGGTATTCAAGACTAAAACAAGACAGTAATCTCCAGGAGCTATAAGAAAGCTAGGTAAGTGGGCAGCAGATTAAATCTTTTGAAATACTGTGTAAGTCATATTACTGATGACCAATACTAACTCTGTTAGGTTCTAAATTAAGGGTAACCTCTCAAGGCAGAGTAGGCAAAGAAAAACATCAAAACTGCAGCTTTGTGTAAAAGTGCAGTAAGATATATCAGAAATAGACTAGCAAGCAGCATTGGAAGCGTAATGCCATTGCATAAATCAGTATTTTGTCTTTACCTGAATTAGAATTGAATGTACTGTCACTCTGTTTTAAAGTATAATTGCAGAAATTATACTTTGAACCTATAGCATTCTGTGAAAGACAATGAGTGCGAACAGAGGCTGTGGTACAAGTGGCACAAGAAATGCCTTCAAGTGAAGGAGATTAAAAGGTCAGGATGTTTTAATAGGAGTTCAGTAGTGAAGAGCAGGAAAGGGGTATAAGAATATGCTGCATTCTTTTTAGAGGGGATATTGAACATTCTTTATACTTTTTTATGATCAAGAGGAATTAATAGTATTGCCGTGTGGAAAACTGAGAGCCAATAATGGAGACTTATCTTTTATATGACACATTAACTTCTAGAACTCATCCTGAAATTTTGGTGAAGTCAAGAACGTAGTAGAAGCTGTAATAAAAACATTCATTCCTACAGATAACAAGTGTATGCATATCCATGTAGGTGTGAAAAATAGCGGTATTGTGCTTGGGAACATTAAAATCAACTGCTAACTGTCTGGAATTGAGAAGAAAACTTCTGAGGGTTACGCAATTGTCCATTATACTTCTAGGTACAACTTGTATTCCTAGTTTTGTATTTATTGCCTCTGTAAATGTATACTTTTTAGAAGCAGTTTCCTTATAACACCTCAACAATTTAAGATTAATTATGTAAACGTTAATGTTTTCTATCATTAATTGACTCAGTAATGAAATGTAGCCTTTTCCCAGGTCCTGGATTCCTGCTAGATTGTAGAGGCTTTAAGTTACCTTTGTATATGTAGCTTTGTGATCTGGTATGACTTACATCCTGATATGACTTGTGGCTTTCGCACATGTTACCTGGTGAACCTGATTATTGACCTTAAAAATACTGCTTTTGCCACCTGCACACCCCTTTTGAAATCTAAAATTTTCCAGGGGATATTTGTGAACCCTTAAAGCTGTGAGTTTCAGGCCTTCTCAGAGTTGTCTTTCTATTCTGTACCATGTTCCGGACTCAGACTGCCTTTGCTCCCGACCATGTCCCTAGTAGACCCTTTTCCCAGAGCATGCAGGAGATTCCCACGCTGAGGAATCCTTACTGGACTTGAAGATTTGTATACCCTTTGTTTAATCTGGTTTAAAAAGGAGTAGCATGAGAGTCTTATTCCAGGAAAACAGGACAACATATGATTAAGTATGAAAAGGGAATGAGTTATTAATTTAAAAATGCAGTGGAAATGTCAGTTACCAAAGTGCAAATATCAGGTTGTCTGGTTCCCCCCGCCCCCCAACTTGGCTTAAGTACTGTGCATTCTTTAATGAATATAAACCCCAGATCCTCACCTTGTATTTCATTCATGGTACTGAAACAGTGTAATATGCTTACCTATTATACTTCTTCTAACATTAATAAATGGAAGAATAAATGGAATTTAAAAGAGATTACAGAATAATCATATACAATAAAGCTTCCAATGAAGAAATACTGTATGAAATTGAGTGACTGTTATGAGTGACATGAAGACAAATGATAGATATTCAGTTTTACAGATGGAATGAAGCTCAAGTTGGTAGAAAAGGCTGGTTGTTTGGGAAGTGAATGAGTCATTCCTTTGCTTGCTACAGTTGTAAAAATAAAGATAAATGAATTTGCTCGTCAAACTCAAAGCCCCAGGATTGTAACGAATCAAAAAATGAAGAAATCTCTTACTCTGTTTTCCTGTGGGATTTACTTTGATGATACTATGTTTCCAAGAGGAAAAAAAAAAATCACTAAACCGTAGAAAAAAGTGTCTCTTTCACTCCATTTAGACAGGCCTTTAATCCCTTGAAAAAATTCTGAAAGGGGCTGGAAAAAATTGGGTTTGCCCAAAATGTCCCTTTATTCTTTTCATGACAGATGTTAATACACTGAAATCAGTTGTACACTACTAGCATTCTCCTCTTTAGAGGTGGCTAGTCTTGTTTGGAAACAGTAGTTTACATGCCTGCTGACTTTATCTCCTTGAAACGAAAGGTAGGCAAGAATGGGGAAGCTGTCATTCTAAAGCCGTGTTTTCCAGCTTGCTACATGGTGTATCTTCCAGCTCTTTTGTTTTATTATTGGATCAGCTGGTTACGTAACAGCAAAGTACTCTAGGTCTGCCGGTATGCATACTGCTTAATACTTCAAATTCAATTACCTGGAAAATCCTGTAGCCACTTGATCAGTGGTTTCTAAGAGCGTAAGATGACATTAAGATGCTGCTGATGCCAATGGAGTCTCCTTTAAGTGGCACCTGTGTTCTATTGTATGTCTCCTTTTTGACAGAGTCAGTGATGGTGTTATTTAAAGCTGCTAGTCTTCTTAGTTGGAATAAAGTTGTTACTAGAGCAGAAGCCCTTTATGTGTAAACAAAGAGTGGGTTTGGTTTGTTTTTTTCTTCTGTATATTAGTAGTGCAGTGAAATCCAGGTTTCTCGGATTTGCAATTCAGCATCCAATCTAGAGAGTGAACTGTGTCCCAAATAGCTCCTTTTATGTTATTGGACATATTGAAATCCTAAGCCAGAGACAAAATTTTGGATTTAAGGGACACACTTTGGTTTTTTTTGATTAACACTTGTTTAGAAAATCATTAGATATAACTATCTTTTGATAGAATTAAAATCTAAAAGTATTTGCTTATAGTTCATGTGTCTTAAATTCTCAATACTGTAGGAAAAATAGTACCAGTTTTTGACTGCTTTTGGAAAGAAAAAAATGAACCAACCAAACAAAAAAAAACCCCAAGTGTTCATGCCAGAATACCTAAATGTCTGGAAGCCACATACTTTTGTTTATGAAAACTGGGAAGCTAGTGTTTGAAGGGCTTTTTTTTTTTTTTTTTTGAGTAAAACTAATGTTAATGAGGAGGGGGAGTGATAGAGCAGCTTTGTGGGCACCTGGCAGCCAGTGAAGGTCAACCCACCACAACATATAACATGGACTTTCCATAAATGGGAGTACATAAAGTTAGGAATTACTTAGAAAAATCTATTACCAGATAGTAAATGTTCAGAGAGGCTTTGTCTGGTCTGGGGTGCAGTATGTAACTCTACTGGTGGGAAAAGTAGAGGCCAGAATGTATTTAGTTTGCAGAAGGGACGTTTACAACTGTTGTAGGCTTAGATGGACATAGGTACTTCTTTATCTTTAGCCAATATTCATCTAGATTCTTTGTCTTTTGCAACATTTTAGCCATCTGATGCAACACCTTTGAAGATCAAAAAGAAAAATCTAAACTCTTACTCACCGACAACAGGAACGCGCCAAATGAGTCCATTTTCATCTCCCACGAGTCATAATGCACAAAATCTCAGAAATCGCCCATCAAATGGTTAGTTGAACATTCTGTCTTTCTTACTGCAACATTTTTCTGGTTATTGGCTTGATTTAGTAGCTTATGTCTCATGTGGTATCTTTGATTTCGTTTTCCTCTTAAAGAATTTTAATCTCTTTTGGAAAAGCTGATGTTGATTTTTAAAGCTTGAATCTTTTCAGTATAAATCTTGGCGGCATTCATGAAACAACTCATTTATGAAACAAGTTCTGCCTTCTGTTGGTCAATATTAAAAATGTTCGACTTTGGCTGAGCAAAAAGAACCTGCACTGGCATTTTTGTCAATAATTCCATTAATTCCACTGGTTAGGCATATTTATGCTGGCAACGTCCTTTGTTTGCTCTCTTTCTGAGTCCCAGCTTTCATTGGCAGAGCTGATACACGCTGCTGACAGTGACTTTGGATTATATGGGGATATGTTCTGAGGTTGCTATGTGCTACATCAAATTATTGCAAGGAAGTCCTGGTTGACTCTTGCAAGGCAGGGCAATCCATTGTTTATAATACACAGCTGAAGTCTGGACTCTCGTGGTCAGGAGAGCTGGAAAGAAGAGATGTGTGTAGTTGATGCATGTTTAATTTTGAGGCCTTTTGTGAACTATGTTGAGATTTGCAATGCAAGTCCTGGTTTATGTACTTCCAGGTTTCCAGTGGTAAATGCTTGCATGTATGCATGCATACATACATATAGCATTTCTCAGCTCTGAGTCTTTCTCTATGAATATTGAAAGTTACATAGATTTTATCAAATCAAAGCTAAAAGGAAAGTTCAGTTAGTTTAATTCTTCTGCTTTGCATTCTTTTACGTAATTTTTTACTATTGTTTTTCATAGTAAGGCACTTCAAGGCAATTTTTAATTAATCTAACATAACACTGAATGTCATTAGCTCTCAGAAAATATGCCTTTTTATAATTATATTATTTCCAGTTCACTTTAGGATATATGTCCACTCAGTTACACAGTCACAGTTTTTGACGCAAAGTATGACTGCTCAAGAAGTATATTTTCAGTAGACTAACCTGCTTTTATGGCTGTATAGGTTGTGGTCTTTTTAAGTGTTAAGGAAGCATTAGGTCACCTGATGTGACTTTTTTATATTAAAAAAAAAAATATGGAGTGACTTTCTTGTCATCTTTCTCATATAGAGCCCAAGAGCTTTTATTTCCTTGCAGTATAATTCCTAGAAAGCTGGTTAAGTCTTGATTTGAAGACTTCAAATTATTTAAAAAATAATAATAATAATAATAAAAATCCATCACTTCCCTTGTTAGCAATTTCCTTGTTCAATTACCTTCGCTATTAAAAAAAAAAAAAATTCTCCTGTCCGATTTTGAATTTGTCTGGCTTTAATTTTCAGCCATCAGTTCTTGTTATGCCTTTTTGTTGGGTTAAAGAGCTTTTTATGCCCCATATATTTTGGAATTTATGTGCAGTAATTGAGGTCTCACTAACATTCATGAATTATGATGAGTAGAAATATTCTGAGCAGGATAGAATAACCACTGTTTGAAATTTATCTAGATGTCTGCAGATTTTTGCACTAGCTATTGCACCATGTGCTCTCATGATGGATCTGCAAAAATGGATTTTTCCTCCAGGAAAAAAGGGATTTTTTTTTTTTAAAGGAATGTAATCAAGAAATTTTGAGATTCTGTCAAAGCTGGCTGACCAGAAAATGAAAATTACTGGAAGCCTTCAGGCTGAAAATACTACAATCTGTGAGCATTACATCCCTTTTCCTTATTAAAAATAGCAGAGTACTTGAGGAAACATGGAAGTATCGTGTGTTTTGGTGGCAGTGTAGCTATGCATAGTTACAGGCCTGTGTGCGGAGGTTTTGTTTTGGTTTTTTTTTCCTAATTAGTAGTCATGCTAGGAAACTAAACAGAAGCAGCTATATCCTAATTCTTTATCATGCTGCCAGTCTTTGTTATGACCTGGCTTTGTGTCCTCATAACCTGCTTGTGAAACTGTTTTAAGACAGTCGAGTTTTTCATGAGTACTTGGTGCCAGTCGGAATATTCATAACTTTCCTACCAAGTTCTCTGCTGATTCCCGTTCTCCCCAGAATAGTTGTTCTTCTCTGCCAGTGCTATGCTTTTGAATTGGGCATTTGCCCCTGGAACTAGTACAAAAATGACTGTTTCAACCACTGACATTCCAAGAAGCCTTTGGAGGAAGAATTATACTAATTTCTTCCCATTCTTTCAGTGAGTGATAGCATGTCTCAACTAGTTGTGCAAACCTGGTATATTAAAAGGACCTGTATTTTAGAACACCCTTGCCTTCACAAAATTAAAGATATATGCAGTTGATGCATGTTGAGAACTATGTTGAGATTTGCAATGAAAGGCCTGGTTTGTGTACCTTCCTGGTTTGGGGTGGAGGGAGTAAACCTCTGTCTACCAGAAAGTAAGTGCCTACCCTGTCATGTGAACAAAGCGCTACAGCGCCTACCCTGTCTTGTGAAAAATTCCTCCTCTCAAAACTAACGGCTTCTTCTTGATCCCTAACGAGATGATTATTTGGCACAGTAGGTATCTCCACACTCCTAGAAATCTTTAGTGACATTTAATCAGCCCTTTAAAGTCTTGACCCCTGAATTCTTAAAAGACTATAAACAGTTTCTCTTTGGGATTGTTTTCCTCTTCAATGAAGTTGCTTAAAGCATTGTCTTAAGTATTACCACAGATATCCCTGGTTGTGTGTTGAATTTTCTCCTTGGAGTTTAAACCAAGTTAGATAGCAATCTAACCCCACTGTTCTCCAACTTTCTTCTTATTATGAAAAGTAACTCTTCCAGTGAGCAACATTCTGACTTAGTTTGTTAGGGAGCTTGTGTCTTTGATATGTAAATTTATGTACTCTATTTTTCTACAGAGAGAAAGGTATTTTCAAAGTATTCCCAGGTCAGATTTCTATGGTAGTCTCTGCTTTCATCAGTAAGAAGGAAATTTTGTGTTTGCATGTATTAGCTCCTATGTATTAACCAGTCTCAGGATTAGATGGTACTTCCTGGATGAAATGAAGAGCCTATGTGTCTTTTTTTCCTCGTGGTAAATATGAATCTCTTCATCCTGTACAAAGAAATGTTTCAATGAAAAGAGTTGCCAATAGGTGTTCTCTGTCAGGTCAGAGATATGGCCGCTGTTAGTGCAATCAATTGATATGCCTGTACTGGCATCTGTCATGTCAAGGAAAGGTCAGCTCATACCATACATCAATTAATTGTTTTGTCGTAGTGTGGCATCCTACATTCTCACCCAGAATGGAGCAGTAAGTATTCAGATTCAAGCAAAGTGACTGCATGTTATACCTAGCCGCTGGTGATCACTGAGTTAAGATTGCCTGTGTCCTGAGGGAAGAACCAAATTAGAACAATCTATGTCCCCATTGACTACAGTCTGAGGCACTGGGAGCAGTAAGCTTTCTGTTAGTGTTGCCACATCACAAAAGCAGTTCTGAAAAAAACCTACTTTTTTATGTATAAATGCAGATTTTAATTTTGTGGCTGTCTGCAGAATATGAAACTATACCTCAGGCTGGTTGGATATCCACCTGCACTTCAAGACTTGCCTTTGCAGAAAGCTTAAAATTGTATAAAATGATAGCAGTATGACACAAAATTAAAAATGCTATGGCTCTTTAGATATGTTCTCTTGAATATCCCTACATGTTTATAATTACCTGCTTTCATGACCTCTTTCCTTTAGTTTTAGTCAATGCCTTTTTGGTGACACAACACGTGATAACACTACAAGTTTTAAAACTTTTTCAGCATGTCTGCATTTGCATTACATGCCTTATCTCTTAGGTGAAAGAAAAAAGGGGGCAAAATGTCTTGTATTAAAATGCCTATATATTAGGATGTCAATGGGAAAGGTGAACATGTACTGTATTTCCATACGGATATTAAGTATGGACATAGGGGAACATTCTTTTTGCCTATAAAAAGACTGATCACATGATCATAGCTGACATTTAGATGGATAATTATTCAGTAATGTAGTACTAGCCATCTTTTTTTTTTCCTGTGTTAATATAGCTACAAGGTGGTAGTATGTAAGACTTCCTCTTACACCACAGGTTTCAGGTTGTCCTTTTAAACCCACGATTTCTTCTCTCCTTCTGAAAAGGCACTTTCATTTTAAGTGTTGTAGTGTTTTAACAGATTACGCATATCACCTCTAAGTGACATGTTAGACTATAATCTATATTCTATTTTTCTGTGACCAATATGTAAGAAAACAGAATGAAAATTATTACAATGAAATCTTATTTTGCGTTGTGCAAAGTACACAAAGTTGCATGCACCTATCTCACTGAGGAGACAGAAGGAAATTATTTGTCTTGTGAACATGACTTTCTTTTGAATAACAGTGTGGAGGAGTGCCTCAAAAAAGACTAAATACCTACAGAATGCTAAGATTGTTCAAAAGTAACATTTATTTTAGGAGAAGACATAAACCAACCCAATTATAAGAGAGTGTGTCTTTATGATGTTGTCCAGTGTATGTCCTATTGGGCTGCCTGATAATTCATATGTTGCCTAACTACCCAAAATCTCACAACCCATTTATGACATAAATTTCTAAAATAACGGAATACTAAATCTTCACTAGTTTGTCACCGTTGTTGGCTAACATATTCTTAAGATTTATTTCAGATTGTTTTTTTTTTAATTCAAATCAATCCAGGGTTCCGCCATTCCATAGTACTGGTCTAAAAGTAGTATCTGTTTGATAATGGATGACTGATTTAAGTGCAAGTTCTATGAGTACTTAGATTTAAAATGAAATCTTTTGGGGTCTTAACCTTTAGCTACTGTAGTGGAACATCTTGAACTTTCATAGCACCTTGTCATTCTGAGGTATTTCTAAATGTTTTACAAAATATTAAAATTAAAAGTTAATTTATCCTTGAGTGCTGATACTTGTATGTAATAATTTAGATCTAGCAAGAAGAAATCAAAGTGTTTAACGCTTAGTGTGATCTCTTTCTAGTCTGATGTCAGAAAGCAGATGTATTACAGTGAAATGTGAAAAGCACCTCATCCCCAAGGATCTGTTCTAGGATCAATGCATTTGTTAAGGCTGCAGTAAAGACCTGTTGTAGTTTCCTCCACATCTTTCACTTACAGGTGAATTTCACCTTGCAATAACAGCTGTTCAATATGAAGCATTTGTAAGAATGTGTATGCATCTGTTGGAGGGACAATAGATAAGAACTAATTTAAAACACCTTGTGAACTTCTTTGGCACCAGAAAAAAAAGATCTTTCTTGGGTTTTGGATAGATGAGTATAGTCTGATTAGCTACAAGTACAGTGAACTCTAAAGCTGTATTACTAGTATGCAATTCTAAGTCACTAACTGTCAACTGCACTAATGATCTCATTGTTTAAGGGGAAAACTGTTTTCAGAAAAAAAGAATGAATGCATGATTATGCCTCTCTCCCTTTGTATGTATGCATACATCTCCACCATTTTGTCTTTAATGAGTGTCAGATCCAAAAGAAATCTGTTGCACAGGAGAATAGAACTGTGTCCAAAAAAGGGAGCTTTAACATTGCAGTAGAAAATGAGAGACTGAGTGTGTGACTGATACTGTTGAGGGGGGAAATTCTTACGGTGGAAGTTACAAAAACTCCATGTTATATGATGTTTTCAACTTCAGCCACAACTAAACAGAAATAATTTCTGCGATTCAGATGTGCTATTCACACATTCAGATGTGACCCCTTTATTGCTGGAACCTAGACAGATAGAACACTTAAAGTGTTGAAAGGTGACCATATAGATTGTGTGGAGCACAGTACCATGAATAGTTATAGCCTTGCTAGTTTCAGTAGATTCACCAAAGACTATTGTACTGTGGGATCCTATCAAATGTGACAGTATATACTATTTTTTAAGTATTAGTTAGGAGGGATGGAGTACTTTTTTCTGCTAGTACATCACCTTCCTGATATGCTAGTTGGAGGGCAAGCAGAATTGACAAGATAATGTACTGACTTTAAAAGCAATGGTAATTGATACACAAGATAAAATTTTAATCTGTTTTTGTTCTGATTTCTGTCTGAATTGCATAGGTTGGGATAACTTGTGTAAATAGATAGAAATTCAGAAAGTCTTTTGTGATCAGAGGTGTGTTGTTATATGTAACGGTACACATAACGAGACCTTTGTAAGTGGCTATTGAACGATCTCAGGTAGGTAGCAGCCAGTGAGCCAAAGATGTTATTTTAGTGCAGCACTGACTTTCTTAATCTAATCAGCATCACTGAAAACATCCCCCTGTCCACCTGCTTTGGGAGAGCAGTCCGTGTTAGACGTTTGCCTTGGAATCTGGTCATTTAAGAATGCCCAACCTACAGTGGCAGAAAGGCAGTCCACCAGTTTACCAACACCACGTGTGAGCCTAGGTTTTATTAACAAATCCATGGGAATGGACTTTTGTGGTAATATCCTATTCCTGTTTCCTCACAGAAACACGCATCTGCTCAAAATATCAGTGCACTGAAATGTAGAAATATGACTCGCCATGCGGAATAATGGCAACTGGCATATGATTTATCATGCCCCATCGTATGATGAGCTAGAATATTATATTGTCAATATAGCATGTCAGAGCCTTTGGAAGTAATTTGCAGTATCTCTTTGTAGTTGTTTACAAGATGGAGTTAGGGGTCAGGCACTTTTTATTAAAGAAAAATGGAGGTTTCATTGCTCAATCATTATAGTATTTTCATGATAATGCTTTGTGCTAATATGCTGTATTTAGGCAGTTAATAGGATAAAAAGCTTCTGAGTAGAACGCAATAACTATGTGTCAGAATTATACTAACTTCCAGTTATTAATACTATAATCCCAAGGTTTCCACAAATACAAATGTAATGTGAATTGATGAGAGGTCAAATTACAAAAGAGTAAATTACGGTGAACTTAGTGTGTTTCATTACAAGGGAATCTGCTCTGCTTCATAAGTGAGTTTTGTTTTTTTTTCTTTTCCTAAAAGATCATGGAACGGTCAGGGTTCATACTAACATCTTTTTCATGTGCTTCAAATACCAGATAACTTATTTTCATCTTTATTGTTTCTTTTCTTTCTTGTGAACCTCCTAGGAGATGGAACTGAGCAGAATGATTCAGAAAGCAGGCTATCCAGAAGAGGGCAGCCTCAAACAGAGGAGGATGCGTAAGTGTATTAAGTGCACTGTGGGTGCAGTGCCGTGATTTTTCCATATGAAAGATTAATATTTCATACAGAGTTAAATTAATAGTGATTATTTTTTAATACTTCTAATTCCACAGGATTGGATGTTCAAAGGCACTGAATGGCAGGCTTACAGTTATAGGTACAGATTAACGCAGGGTTTGCAATACAACTGTCCAGCCAGTTCTGTCTTTCACTGGTAGTGTGAGGCATATGACACTGCCAATTACAGGAGTCACGCTCATAATACTACACGATGAGGTATCATAATTAAAATACTGAAAGGAAGGTATGTTTTGTCTTGCCAGGCGCTTCCGAAAGTGTACATTCCTTTACCTTATTTTTGGAAGCATTGACTGCCAAAGGGCCAGTAATGCAGGACACTTTGATTGAAGACTAGCCACAGATGGTCATGGTGAAACTTCATGTTTGCTTTGCAAAGTCTTTTAAAATTCTTGTCTTTTCTGCCACAATCTTATTTTAAGCTATAAGCTTCCTGATGTTAATGGACTTTGGGCAGTCCACAGGTAGTAAAGCACTTAAAATAAGTGTTTCAGGCGAAGTATCTGATAAACTGCTTTCCTAAACTTGATAGATGTGAGGAGTCGTAAGATGTGTTAGAGGTAAGGCTGCTAGTGTCTCATTTTGTTAGTATTGCTTGATCTTTTCTGCTATGAAAAGCATATTTAATTGTTTGTAACATTGCCAAATCTTAGCTGAAAAGTGAACTGAAATTTTCTGTGCCAACAGTGAGGTGTCAGGCTAAATGTGTTATGTATTTCAGCCAAAACAAACATATCCATCCCTAAGAGTTAGGCAAACGAAATACCTGTTTCATTTATGATAGAACTTGGTGAAAAAATGGAAAGCTGTGAATCTCTGTAAGTTTGATTGTATCTTACAAAGATGCCTTTCATCTTTATGGGAAGTTACCTAATTCGGAAGTCCTGGAAATTATGAGTTTTTTTAATGTGGTAGTTATATATGCTCAGTAAAACTACTTTGAGTTTAAGCTTTAGTCTAGCTAAAAAGTTTCCTTCCTCAATGAGGGTGTTCATACTTCTTGCTGCTAATACAATATCATCCTAGATAGGCCTCCATCCACTTCCACCCTTTTTACTCAATTGAAATTGCATTCACCAGAGACTCTTGTGATCTCTTATTAGCAACATTTTTTAAAAATTTCTTTATTCTCATTCTTCTTCAACACTGTCTACATTTTTGTTCTTGAAATCTTATTATCCTGTTGTGTTGTCCTGCCTTTTTAGTTGATGCTTCAACTTGTCCTCTGGTGGAATCTTGACATATATCTTTGACATCTATCCGAGAAAGTCTAATTCACAGCTCAGCATCAACATGGCTATACCACATCTCTTCTTCTCTTCTTCTCTCCTCTATAGCATTATATATTTTTTTATCATTCTGTGTAATGTGACTGTCCTGTATTTCATTCAGGCCCGGTGTCTGTGCATCCAATTCAAATTTTTATGTAAATTCTCTTGTCTGTAGGTCTGGCACACTTTCTCCCAAAAATCTGAGGTGCATTTCCTATTACCCCAGTTTGTTACTAAGAGCTCACCTCTCACTGTAATGCAAACCTCCATTGCCTACATACTCCTTTGTTGGCCAGCTTCTTTGTACTTTCCTTGTGTCCTGCTTCTGACAACACGTCCTACTGTAAGTCCTGTTGATACTGAAGGCAGAGCGCAACTGCCGTGCTGCAGCTTGTGTCACTGGAAAAAGTATCACCATGCTAGTGCAGTATTCACGCAGGCTAGTTAACCAACATTGAAGAGTTGGGGTTTTGTACTTGAGTGGATTTCTTTCATCATATGCTTAAGTATACGTTGATTCTGTTATTCTGCTTCTGTATTCTGTTGTACGTATTAAATATTTGTATCACAGTTGTACCTGGTGTCCCAGATGAAAATTCCCTTGGGGCTAGATATTTTATGCATGCATTTTTTTTTACTAACAAATAATATTTGTGAAATTTATTCAACTAAATATTATGTTTCTTATGTTTGAAGTTGTAGCTCTTCCTTTTGATTATTGCACTTGAACTCTCAATGTGTTCGTTGGGTTTTTTCTTGTAATGGATGCTTTCCCCACCACTAGCTTGAAATTTCTTCGTTGTAGGACAGTAAGTATCTTCTAAGTGATGGAGCTTGGCAGATAGTAGAATTGTTTGGATGGCGTGTTAGATAGTAAAAAGTAAAATCTTACAGTTATACCAGTGGAAAGCTGTAAACTGATCAATTGGGGTTTTTTTCTGGTTCAGTAAATCCCTTGGTCAACACATATAGACTCGTTTCTTAGTGATAGTAACCTTGAATTGCAGAACAATTTGGGTAATCATAGTCTTCATTGACCTGTAAATGTTTGTATTCAATAACTCAGTATGTTTTTTAAAAATTGTAAGATTTTCAGAAGACTAGCAGTTAGTGACATGCCAGTAAAATACATTTATAAACTAACACCTACACAGTAATATTTATGTTTATATTACAGGTGGAAAATATATTGTACGATACACTGACATTAGCATTTTCTTTTCTGCATTGCCTTCTGTTGCCATGTTGAAATGCAACAGTGATAAGTTTTCTCATACTGTAGTATTTATGTGAACTTCCATACACTTTACGTTTACAGGTGGAAAATATATTGTACGATACACTGACATTAGCATTTTCTTTTCTGCATTGCCTTCTGTTGCCATGTTGAAATGCAACAGTGATAAGTTTTCTCATACTGTAGTTCTCTTTCTAAATTGGGGGTTTCTTGTAAGGGTGATTCTCCCTTCTGTGGGAAGAAGCAGTATATAGGTTATTTCTCTGATGTCTCCATTTGATTTGCATGTTTAATTGCTTTAAAGAGAAAATAGGCTAAACATTCATTGCAGGATTTTTTTTCAATACATATTCCGTGCAAATCCTTAATCATGCATTAAAGTCTGCCATTTAGATATAATCTGATTGGATATTATTTTAGTTTTTATTGCAAAACCCATTAAACTCTGAAAGCTGACCATATTTACACTGGTAGTAAAATACATTTGTGGCTTAAAAGGGGAGATAGTACCACAAAGCTGAACAAATAACATCATGCGATGTTGTCTCTGTTGGGCTCAGTTTTAACTTCTCATGTTTCCTATGGCTACAAGCAGTGTTGTACGGTCTTACAGTCTGTGGGTCTGGGGGGCTCGTCCTCTTGATTAAATTCCTGCTCTTAGGAACAAATGAGTTAAATTCCTGGTTTTACCATTGTCTTCTTGCACGATCATAAGAAAATCCTCTAATATTGCTGAACCTGAGTTCCTATCCTTAAAATTAGGATTTTTTTTTTTTGGCAGTTCGCATATAAATTCTAACCAAAGGCAAGTTATAGTTGGTGTTATATGACACAATCGGGTTGCACAGCCCATCTGTTCACAGCTTATCTAGATCCATCCTGATTACAATGTGAAGAAACTCTGGGAAACATTGTAAACACTGATTTTCAGCTAATTGAAATTGTTCTATTTTAACTTTTTATGCAGGTTCATGGAATTGCAGTCCAAAGTGAAAAGTTCATTGGCTAGAATTGTGAAAATAAGAGCAAATCTGACAAGTCTACAGGTCTGATTTACACTGATTTATTTTTTTAATCTACTTTTAATATAGGACTTGAAATGAAAATGAAAATCTTTTATGCAACATTTGAGTTTTAAGAAATGGGGAAGCAAATAAAATACTTTAAACCAGGCAGGTTTGACTTGGAAATCCAGAAAATGCAAAAAAACCCCAGAACTTAGTAGAAATGTTTTTTTAACTAGAGGAGTTGCTTTTCCAAGTACACCATTTTTAATTTGTATCACTCCTCATTTTGTACACAAATAAAAGCATATGAAGTAGTTATCAACTATTATTTATAACTTGAAGTATGAATCATTACTGCATAGATTTTTATGTCCTTGAAGATTAAATATCCCTTTGTGTTGAAGAGATTGTACTATTTAATTTACCACTAATGTATCATCATTTAATAGTCTGTTTAATACATGCTAAAATGCAAATCACTTTTCTGTTTTATTCTCATTTTGTTTCCTGAATAAATTTAGCACAAGGTTCGTTGCTGTATAGCAATATCTGAGAAATAATTCAGTGTACTCAAAGTATTGTATTGATTTATTTTACTTGCATATGTGGTCTGACAATGTTTTATTTACAAAAAAAGACTGATACTAATTTGAAATATTTTAATTGAAATGTTTATTTAGAAAACCCTATTGAAAAATCCTTTGTATTTCTCCTGACATTGATAGTGTATGGTTTTAGGTCTGCCATGAAATGCTGTGGAGTATGTTCACTCACATAATCTTACATGCTTGTAGATTTCCATTTTACTAACATATTATAGCAAGCCTGTACATGTGCCAAGATTGCTTTTCTGGGGATCAAGTGTTAATCTGTTTAAACAGCTGAAGACTTACGAATGAAGTGTAAATAACAGGAGATTTTGAAGTAACACTTTAAAAGGTACCTGAATGCCATTTTCAAAAGTAGCATATGTTCTTACACCCTTAAACTTTTTAGTCCCCTTGACTTTCTGTGAGGTGGAGTCTCATGCGTCATTTAGAGCTTATGAAAAATTTCCAAAAATTCTTTCTTTCAGATGTTTTTAGTAAGTTGTAGACATCTAAGTAGGTAGTTTGGGAATGAGTTTAACAATGTCTTTAATTATGTTTTTTTTTTCCAGGCTTTAGAGGGCAGTAGAGAGCTTGAAAATATTATTGGCGTCTCAGACTTGTCTTGCGTCTTGAGTGCTGAAGTGCAGAAAACCCAAGTGCTAAGTAAGGAGGATTTTCAATAATATTTATCCCCTTTATAACAATTTAACAATGATCACTCCAAACGTTTCCTACAGTCATACCCCACTCTGCGTGTTATAATGTCATACCCACGACTCTGACGTGTGAACTCTTTTGGTCAGGACAAATGCACCTTTAATGTCCAGGGACATAAAAGAAAGGCAACCCCAACGGCCCACTCTTCTAACTCACAGTCACAGATGGGGAGGAAAAACTTGCAAGAGCAACACCTTTTCTTATGTAAATAGTTAGATACTTAGTGGGTAGTTAGCTAGTGATTACGCTAAACCTTTGCACTTTGATTGCATTGCCTTTCTTCTCTTTTTGCAAGGAAGTTGTTTTGTTTGTTTGCCTGTTAGGAGGATTAGGCTGAACATAGGTTTCCAGGCTTTAAAAATTGCTATTCATGTGTCTTTAAATGATGGACATACCAGATGCTTATTGTGTTGGGATAAGGGCACTTTACAGGTGGCACATCTGTAATACTTTTCCAAAGGAACGCAGAAAGCCAAAGATTTTCATTATTATGTGTCCATTTTTAGGAAATTTTTTATCCTTACTCCAAATCAGAGGTTCTTGGGGCATGTGAATCCTCAGCAGTGAAAAGTGCAGTCATACCTCGCTTCCCAACTGCCTCTGCAACTAGAAGGGGAGTATGTGATGGGGAAATACTCTAATGCAAAAAACTCGCATTATGGATAATAGCAGGGAAAAAAAAAACTATTGGCTTTCAGGGAGAAGAAATAAAGATTTTCCTTACCAGGTCGTTCCTTTAAGAGTTAAATGTGGTGAAAGGTAGCTGTAGGCACCAAAGGGGTCCCAGTTTTTAGGCTTCAGAACAGTTTGTTCATTTGTTTTCACAATAGCAACACTTTTTAGCTGTACCCACATGACATGTTTGTGGTACAGGTGTGTGTCTAAGACTGCATTTACCTACCACTACTTCTTCTCAAAGGTTTGCATCTAGAACATTGTTCCTGTAGATTTTTCATACCAACCTCTGATAATCTAGTTTCCAGCTGACCAGGGAATATAAATAATATATGCATATACATGGTCTCTGTGTCCAGTCTTTGGACAAGCATGCAAAGAAGATAAAACCGTTTCTTAACCTGCAGCAAATATGATGTTTTGATGGAATACATTATTCTACAACCTGTCTGGTTGCTCTGTTTTTCTGCAGAGTGTAAAAACACTGGAACTAGCTATATGAGAGCAAAACCTAGGGTGACTGGGACTGCTACTTTGTTCGCAGTTGGAAATAGGTGGACAGCAAAGCCACAGGTGCTAGAGAATTTTTCTTACCAAGGAGCACTGTGACCCTTCTAATGGATTAGGTGCATGCGCCCCAGCAGTGGAATTTATGCACCACACAGTTCCAGCAGCTACTGTTGTTTAAATTACCATTTCTTTCCTGACTTGTATTCCAATGCTCATTCAGTTATCATTTTGCATTTGTATACACTGTGCTAGTTCCCACTGTAATGCATATAACCAGATGTTTTCTTATACAAAATGAAGTTTTCTGAAAATAGCCTGTGTTTACATTACTACCCTACACTGTGGATAGGGCAGTGAGACTGCCCAAATGAGATGTCAGACCTACTGTTGACATTTTCTGTTACGTCC